GTGTGGGGTGGGTGTGTAGCTGGTGTGTGGGGTGGGTGTGTAGCTGGTGTGGGGATGGGGTGTGTAGCTGGGGTGGGGTGTGTAGCTGGTGTGTATGGGGTGGGTGTGTAGCTGGTGTGGGGGTGGGTGTGTAGCTGGTGTGGGGTGGGTGTGTAGCTGGTGTGTGGGGTGGGTGTGTAGCTGGTGTGTGGGGTGGGGTGTGTAGCTGGTGTGTGGGGTGGGGGTGTAGCTGGTGTGGGGTGGGTGTGTAGCTGGTGTGGGGTGGGTGTGTAGCTGGTGTGGGGTGGGGTGGGGTGTAGCTGGTGTGGGGTGGGGTGTGTAGCTGGTGTGGGGTGGGGTGTGTAGCTGGTGTGGGGTGGGGTGTAGCTGGTGTGGGGTGGGTGTGTAGCTGGTGTGTGGGGTGGGGGTGTAGCTGGTGTGTGGGGTGGGTGTGTAGCTGGTGTGGGGTGGGTGTGTAGCTGGTGTGGGGTGGGGGTGTAGCTGGTGTGGGGTGGGTGTGTAGCTGGTGTGTGGGGTGGTGTGTAGCTGGTGTGTGGGGTGGGGTGTGTAGCTGGTGTGGGGTGGGGGTGTAGCTGGTGTGGGGTGGGGTGTGTAGCTGGTGTGTGGGGTGGTGTGTAGCTGGTGTGTGGGGTGGGGTGTGTAGCTGGTGTGGGGTGGGGGTGTAGCTGGTGTGGGGTGGGTGTGTAGCTGGTGTGTGGGGTGGTGTGTAGCTGGTGTGGGGTGGGGTGTGTAGCTGGTGTGTGGGGTGGGGTGTGTAGCTGGTGTGTGGGGTGGGGTGTGTAGCTGGTGTGGGGTGGTGGGGTGTGTAGCTGGTGTGGGGTGGGTGTGTAGCTGGGGTGGGGGTGTAGCTGGTGTGTGGGGTGGTGTGTAGCTGGTGTGGGGTGGGGTGTGTAGCTGGTGTGGGGTGGGGTGTGTAGCTGGGGTGTGGGGTGGGGTGTGTAGCTGGTGTGGGGTGGGGTGTGTAGCTGGGGTGGGGGTGTAGCTGGTGTGGGGTGGGGTGTGTAGCTGGTGTGTGGGGTGGTGTGTAGCTGGTGTGGGGTGGGTGTGTAGCTGGTGTGTGGGGTGGGGTGTGTAGCTGGTGTGGGGTGGTGGGTGTGTAGCTGGTGTGGGGTGGGGTGTGTAGCTGGTGTGGGGTGGGGTGTGTAGCTGGTGTGGGGTGGGGGTGTAGCTGGTGTGTGTGTCTCAGTGTAGTTGCTTCATTACCTATTTCAGCCCCTTGTAGGAAAGGCAAGATCCCCACGGGGATAGAGGAAACTATAGCTTGCCTGGCTACTGCGCAGTAAGGGATGTGGATAAAGCCCAGGCTGCCACTGAGGCACCCCTGAGGACAAGCAGAAAGGGCAGGGGGGCAGTAGGAGGGTGGCCGGCATGTCTGGCTGGGGCAGCTTGCCCTATGTTATGTAGCATATTTGCTGCGCCTGGCTGGGTCGTCATGGCCCAAGGGCCTGGCCTCCGGCTGCTGTGACCTTGGGGTGCATGTGCCTGCCCCATCCTTCTGCCAGGCCTGGCCTGCTGGCCCCAAAACGGAGATGAGCCAAGCTGGGCTGATGGCCACCTGGACGCTTTGAGCTGAAGCTGGGGCAAGGCGGGGGAGGGGTGCTGGGCCGCAGTGCATCGCATGAAATGGGCCAGGAGCCTGTGGCCTTGCTGTCCCATCTGTCAGTCTTGTGTCTCTGCCATCTGTCTGTCTGTCTCCTGTTTCTTCTGTGCCCGTTGTGGGGGGCAGCCAGCCGGGTCCTGGGGCACCCTCATTCAGCCCCGGGAATTTTAACCTCTCTCCCCACTCACTACCTCCTCCATGTAGCGTCCACCTCACCATCCCTTTTGCCTTTTATATTTATTTCCTTCTTTCTGTTTTTTTTTCTGTGTGCGCCATCCTGTGGGGCTGGGACAGAGGAGAAGGGGCCGGCCACGTGGAAATAACCTCAGTGTATGTACCGCGCCCGGCCAGCTCGGCTCCAGCCCCTCTCCCTCCCTGCCCTGTTTGTGCTAGTACCCACATCTCCCCCAGCCCTTCACCCCACCCCTCCCCTTGGAGCCCCTTCCTTGTGTGTTGTGTCCTGTGTATGCAAGGGGCCACTGCACCCCACCTCGTCTTCAGAGCCTCCAAGAGGCCAACTGTGCACCCTGCCCCTTTCCCGGGGGTCTGTTCCTCCAGCTCCTCCAGTGACCACTGGCCTTCTGCCTGAGGTCCCTGTAGCTCCTGCCTTGAGCTGGGCCCTGCACATCAGAGTTGGAGCAGGCCTGGTCCAGTGGGCCTTCCTTCTTCTGCCTGCTCCTGAGAACTGAAGACTGTCCATGGCAGAGCAAGACCAAGGATTGTGGGACAGCAAATGCAGATTCAGGATGCTTTCCAGTACCTCCACTGCTAGGGCAGCCCAGGCTGGGCCTGGGTGATAGGAGCCACACGTGGGGGGTGGGAATGAGGGTCAGGAGACTTGGACCAAGGAGAAGCAGGGCCCCCAGGCTTGCACCCTGCAAGTGGAGCCATCCAGCCTTAACTCCAGAGGGCAAGGGCTTAGCCAGGGCCTTCTGGCCAAAGTCCAGCATACACCCTAAGAAGCAGCAACACTTCTGTCAGTGGGACTTCAGTATCCTGAGGGCTCCACCCTTGCAGCCAGCAAGCCACTCAAACCCCCACTGCTCCCCTGGACACAGTCCCTGGATGGTCACATACACCCTGATTCTGTCACCCATAAGTTGCAGGGCTGGAAGGAGCAGGTCACAAAAGTGCTGGCTATTAACTCTGCCCATACCGCTCCCCTTCCTCCAGACCATCTCTGACACCAGCCCCATGAAGCGCTCAGCCTCTGTGCTGGGACCCAAAGCCCGACGACTAGATGACTACTCACTGGAGCGGGTACCACCAGAGGAGAATCAACGGTACCACCAACGCCGCCGAGACCGCGGCCACCGCACCTCAGAGCGCTCTCTGGGCCGCTACACTGATGTGGACACAGGTAGGCTGCCACAGAACCCAGGATAGAGGCGCCACAAAGATCAGGTCAGGGGAGAGGAGGCTGCAGGACAGAAGTAGGCACAGAGGACTGGGCAAACGCCACGAAAGCCAGCCTGAGGGACACTGAGAGGGAGGGGTTAGCGTCTGGAGTTGGAGGCCAGCCAAGATACACAGCAAGACCCCAACTTAAAATAGAAAGGAGTCAGGCACAGCCTTTAATCCCAGCACTCAAGAGCAGAGGTAGGCAGATCTCTGAGTTCAAGACCAGCCTTGTCTACAGAGTGAGTTCCAGGACAGCAGGGCTACACAGAAAAACCCTGTCTCAAAAGGAAAGAAAGAGGGCTGGGTTATATCTCAGTGGGCAAAGTGAGTACTTCACACAAATGCCAAAGTGACATGAGATTCCAACACCCACATCCAAAGTCAGGTGTGGCTGAGAGGGCAGAAGGTGGAGCCCGGATGACCCCATGCTCACCAGTCTAAGCTCTCGGTGAGCTCCAGGCCAGAGAGACACTGTCTTTGAAAAAACAAGGTGGAGGCTAAGAGGCTCACAGGGTGAGCAGCTGCCATCCATGCAAGCATTAGGACCTTCACTTGTGAAGACAGACAGCGCGCATCCGTCATCCCAGCCCTCATAAGTGAGAGGAAAAACAGACAGCAGAGTCCCCAGGAGCTCCTGAACCAGCTCGCATGAAATGTACGCAAGTAACAAGAGACCCTGTCTCAAACAAGACGGAAGATGAGGGCCAACATCTAAGATTGTGCCAGCCACCATATACAGGCACACTCACACACATGTACACACATTACACGCAAAAATTTAGATACAAAAAAATTAAGATTTAGTTAGTTTGAGACAAAATCTCACTGTGTGGTCCTAGTTGACTTGGAAGTCACTAGATAGACCAAGATGGCCTGAAACTCACAGAGATTCTCCTGCCTCTACCTCCTGAATGCTTGGCTGTTTGTTTTGTTGGATTTTTTGTTGGCTGTTTTCTCCCCTGAGACAGGGTTTCTCTAAGTAGCCCTGGCTGTGCTGGAACTCTGCAGACCAGGCTGGCCTCAAACTCAGAGATTCACGTGCCTCAGCCTCCCAAGTGCTGGAATTGAAGGTGTGGGCCACCATGCCCAGCTGCATTTTATTTTTTTAATTAGTATGTGTGCATTGGTTATGTGACCACGAATGCAGGTGCCCCAAAAGCCAGAAGAGGGTATTGGATCCTCTGGACCTAGAGCTACAGAGCTTCGGGACATGGGTGCAGGAAACTAACTTAGATCTTTTGTTTTGTTGTGCTTTGTTTGTTTTTCGAGATGGGTTTCTCTGTGTAACACTAGTTGCCCTGGAACTAGCTCTGTAGACCAGGCTGGCTTCGAACTCACAGAGACCCACCTGCCTCTGCCTCTCGAGTGCTGGGATTAAAGGTGTTCGCCATCCCAACACTGTACAGACTAACTTAGCACTTTTGCAAGAGTATCAGACAGGCTTAACCATTAACCCATTACTGCAATCAGCGCATGCGCCTCAGGCTGAATGGGACGTTGTCTGGGTGGTAGGTAGGGCTAACATGTGTAAGGTCCTAAATTGGTCATACTCTACACTGAGAACAGGGAAGGGCTGAGCCAGATAGATGGCTTCGCCTGTAAAGGTGTTTGATACCAAGCCTGAAGACCTGAGTTTGATTCCTGGAACCCATAAGGTGGAAGGTCACACTTTCAGGCGAGTACCACCACGGGAGGTTGCGCACGCTGAAAATAAATGTAAAAATACAAGTGAGGGGGAGTTCCTGGGTAGGGAGGACACCAGGGCCTGGAGACCCTCCCGGCCTGCCTCCCCTTCTCTTGCGCCCTCCGTCCTCTCTCACCATCGTCTCCCACACAGGTCTGGGGACAGACCTGAGCATGACAACCCAATCCGGTGACCTGCCTTCCAAAGATCCGGACCAAGACCGGGGCCGGCCCAAGGACCGGAAGCATCGGCCGCACCATCACCACCACCATCACCACCACCATCCCCCGGCCCCCGACCGGGAGCGCTACTCACAGGAGCGGTCGGACACCGGTCGGGCGCGGGCCCGGGAGCAGCGCTGGTCCCGCTCGCCCAGCGAGGGTCGGGAGCACACCACACACCGACAGGTGCGTGTGGCAGGCCCAGACTGAACCGACGGGGCGGGCGGGGGCGGGGCTGCGGGGGCGGGGCCGGGGCGGGCCTGGGAGGCGCCCGGGGCGGGGCGCGGGTAGCCCGCCGCTCTTGCTTTCCCCTTGGCCCGGCTTCCCTGCGACTCGTGTCCTGCGGACGCCTGTGAGTGACTTCGGAAACTTACGAAGCTCGTTTCTCGTTTCTCTCCTCACTGTTGTGTTGGTTTGCCTCCCCCCCACCCCCGCCTCTCCGTCCCGCCGCCCGCCCGCCCGCCCTCCCGTCTGTGTGTCCCCGTGTGCTCCCGGTTGGTCCGTGGTATCTTTGCTTTTGATTTCCTTTGTTTCGATTTTCGTGTAGGGCAGTAGTTCCGTCAGTGGAAGCCCAGCCCCCTCTACGTCCGGCACCAGCACGCCGCGGCGCGGCCGCCGCCAGCTCCCCCAGACCCCCTGCACCCCGCGTCCGCTCGTGTCCTACTCACCCGCTCCGCGCAGGCCGGCGGCGCGCAGGCTCGCGGGTCCCGCGGCGCCCCCCTGGCGGCTCGCCGCGGGGTTGCCGCCGCGCGCCTCGCTGGCCCGCGCATGCGCCCGAGGGCCCGCGGCCGCGCGGCGCCGACTACCCCGAGCCCGACGGCCCGCGCGAGCAGCCAGGGGCCGCGCACGAGCCCGCGCCGCGGTCTCCCAGGACTCCGCGCGCCGCGGGCTGCGCGTCACCGCGCCACGGCCGCAGGCTGCCCAACGGCTACTACGCGGGGCACGGCGCGCCGCGGCCGCGCACAGCCCGCAGGGGCGCGCACGACGCGTACAGCGAGAGCGAGGACGACTGGTGCTAAGCCGCCCCGCCTCCCCGCGGCGCCCGCACAGTGCGGGCGCATTGCAAATGATAAAAACAATAACGTTTTTAAAACAGAAAACCGGGGAGAAAAACAAAAATAGCTTCTATTGATGAGTTTTATCATCTCAATTGAATCTTTTGTTTTCCCGGTGAACGTAACCGAGGTGGCTGCCAGCCGGAGGGACGGCTGCACGCCCCACACACTTCTCCGACCCACGGGAGTGCTTGCGGGCTACGCCAAACTTACTACTGCCTGCAGAGATCAACTACAAGAAAATAACACTAACAGTTTTTAAAAGGACAAAAAAAATGAGAAAAACGTTTTTTTTTCTGACATTTGGTCCTGCTTGAAATAACAAAAGAAAAAAAGAAAAATTTACCACCACCACTGATTCCCTTGCTTCTTTTTTTCCTTTATCTTTTTAAAAACTTTTTTTTCTTTTTTTCCTATCTTGTTTGAACAACGTGGGCTTGGGACTGTGAAATATTGCATGACATTAAAAAGAACAAAAAAATTAATAAAAACGAAAAAATTTGAATCCAAGGGCTTCTGAACTGGAGTGGTCTTTGTCCTTTGACCAAGATGCCATGCAAGTCACTCTTGGGAAATGAGTGAAGAGGGGAGGCAGTTTATTAGCTCCCAGAGAAACAGCGCCGGGACTAGGCTCCGAGGCAGAGCCCACAGGTACCAGGAACCAGGGCCCTGGGTTCGCTTCCAGCTAAGGCAGATGTGTCTCCTTGAAAGGACAGCCCCACAGAACTGAGGTCCCTCCTGGCTGTGCCCAACCTCCAGTACCACCCACCTCTGTGTTAAGTGTTCTGCCCGGGCTCATTGAACCAATTTCGTAAAAAGTTCTCAACCGGTATCAGCCATGGAGAAATGCTGGCGAGGTCAAAGATCCGAACAGTCTGTGGAAACATTACATCAGAGCAAGGAGGGGGGGCCAGGATTGGGTTTTTGTTTTTTTTTTAAGATTATTTATTTATTATATATATATTGTATTCTGCCTACATGTATGCTTGCAAGCCATAAGAGGGCACCAGATCTCAGGGGCTGGGAGATGGCTCAGAGGTTAAGAGCACTGACTGCTCTTCCAGAGGATCTGAGTTCAGTTCCCAGCAACCACATGGTGGCTCACAACCATCTATTATTAGATCTGGTGCCTGTTTCTCACATAAAGTTGTATATGCAGACAAAGCACTCATGCACATAAACTAAATAAATAAATCTTTAAAAAAAAAAAAAGAGGGCACCAGATCTCATTGTAGATGGTTGTGAGCCACCATGTGGTTGCTGGGAATTGAACTCAGGACCTCTGGAAGAGCAGTCAGTGCTCTTAACCGCTAAACCATCTCTCCAGCCCCAGGATTGTTTTCTAAACGATATTTATGTATATGTGGATTTGAGCATATGTCAAAGTGCCTTCCAAGTCTGCCCGAGTTACAGGCTGTGAGTCTTCTAACCGGGGTGCTGGGAACCGAGTTCAGGTCCTTTGGAAGAGCAATATATGCTCTTAACTTCCCGCCACTCCCCGCCCCACCCCCACCAGGATTCTTAGCTAACCCCCTCACCCTACATTCACCTGCCTCATCCAGCACACTGTCTACATATCCAGTCCTGCAACATGCTGTCTATACATCCACTGTCATGCAACATGCTGTCTACATATCCTCTGCCCCCTGCCCAGCCCCCAGCCTCCAGGCCCCTCACCGCCCTCCCGGCCTGTTTGGAAAATACTGCTGTGAATATGGCCTGTATCTGTAAAACTAAAGATTGGGAAGAGGAAGTCGTCGCACCTATTCATACAAAGGTCAGGTCCCCAAGATCGTTTCTCTGGCGGAACGGCAGTTTCTGGTTACCTGTCTGGGGTGTGTATGGTGCATGCGCATGCACACCGAGATACGTGTATATGGATTGTGTAAAGGCCACACACTTGCTACTAGTTGTCTTTTATTGTTAGCCGCCTTTCCTCTGATTTTGTTGTTTGTGAGCCAGAGTCTAAGTAGCCCTGGCTGTCCTGAAACTCTTTGTGTAGACCAGGCTGACCTCTGCCTCCCAAGTGCTGGGATTAAACACATTCATCACCACAGCCAATCACACCTCATTTTTTTCTCTAATAAACCTTTTAAAAATGTATTTGTATTTTATGTACAGTAGTGTTTTGCCTGCATATATGTCTGCATGAGGGTGTCAGATCCCCTGGAACAGGAGTTAAAGACAACTGTGAGCTGCTATTATGTGGGTGCTGGGAATTGAACCTGGATCCTCGGGAATAGCAGCCAGTGCTCTTAACTGCTGAGTCATCTCTCCAACCTCTCACACCCCAGTTTTATAAACAATCATTAGATTGAGAGAGTGTCATTACCACCCATCCTTAGCATCCTACTATTTTTTGGGGGGGGTGTTCAAGACATGGTTTGTCTGTGGCTTTGGAGGCTGTCCTAGAACTAGCTCTTGTAGACCAAGTTGGTCTGGGAACTCACAGAGATCCGCCTGCCTCTTGCCTCCCGAGTGCTGGGACTAAAGGCATGTACCAGCAACGCCTGGCTGGCATCATACTCTTAAAATATCAATGGCTTTGTAACCTTTGTCATATGCTTTAACTGCTCTGTTCCCCTACTTAAATTTAATAAAATGGAAATAACAGAATTAGACGTGTGTGTGTGTGTGTGTGTCTGTGTCTGAGTGTGTGTGTGTGTGTGTGTTTTATGGAGTACAAATGTGTGAGCTCTGTGTTCTGATAAAACTTTTCATAAAAGCAGCCAGTGTGAGGGGCTGTTGAGGTTGTCAGAGCATGACTCCTGCTTTTCCAGAGGACCTAGGTTCTATTCCCAGCTCCCACATGGCAGTTCACAACCTTCTGTAACTCCAGTCCCTAGGGATGGGACACCCTCTTCTGGCCTCTACAGGCTTGTGATGCTGTGACATAAATGTGAGCCCCAACACATAATGAATCTTTTAAAATAAGGAAGGAGCCAGGTGGTGGTGGCGCACTCCTTTAATCCAGCACTCTGGAGGCAGATGCAAATGGATCACTGTGAGTTTGAGACCAGCCTGCTCTACAAGAGCAAGTTCCAGGACAGCCTCCAAAGCCACAGAGAAACTCTGTCTTGAATAACCAAAACCATGATTTCAAAACAAAACAAAACAAAACAAAAACTGCTAAGGTTAGGTGTGGTAGCATGCTCTTGTAAATCCCAACACTTGGGAAGTAAAGGCAAAAGAATGAAGAATTCAAGGTCATTCTTAGCCACATAGAAGTTTGAGGCCAGCCTGAGCTACAAGAGACCCCGTCTCAAAACCAGAGCTGGGCCCAGTGACATCATCATGCCTTGTTTTTTGTTTGTTCCTCTGTATAACAGTTCTAGCTGGTGGTGGTGTTGCACACCTTTGATCCCAGCAGTAAGGAGTCAGAGACAGACAGATCTCTGTGAGTTGAGACCAGCCTGGTCTACTGAGCAAGTTCCAGGACAGTCTCTAAACCTATAGAGAAACCCTGTCTCGGAAAGAAAGAAAGAAAAAAGGAAAAAAAAAAAGAAGGAAGGAAGAGAAAAGAAAAGGAAAGAAAAGAAAAGAGGGCTGGAGAGATGGCTTACTGGTAAACAACATTGGCTGCTCTTCCAGATGTCCTGAGTTCAATTCCCAGCAACCACATGGTGACACATAACCATCTGTTATGAGATCTGGTGCCCTCTTCTGGCCTGCAGGGATATGTACAGACAGAACACTCTACACATAAATCTTTCTTTAAAAAAAAAAAGAAAGAAAAGGCCGGGTAGTGATGGTGCTTGCCTTTAATCCCAGCACTCAGGAGGCAGAGGCAGGAGGATCTCTGTGAGTTCAAGGCCAGACTGGTCTACAGAGAGAGTGCCAGGATAGGCGCCAAAGCTACAAAGAGAAAACCAGGGAGAGAGAGAGACAGAGACAGAGAGACAGAGAGACAGAGAGAGAGAGACAGAGACAGAGAGACAGAGACAGAGAGACAGAGAGAGGGGGGGGGGAAGAAAAAATAACAGTCCTAGCTGTCCTGGCACTCACTCTGTAGACCAATTTGGCCTTGAACTCACAGAGATCCTTCTGCCTCTGCTTCCTGGCACACCATCACCTCCTAGCAGTACATCTGCCTTTAATCTCAGCACTCCAAAGGATCTCTACAAGTTTGAGACCAGCTTAGTGTACAAAGCAAGTTCCAGGATAGCCAG